ACTATTAAATAAGGGATGAATTTTCTTAATCCTTCGTTCGTACACCTGAACGAGCCTACCGAAAAGGTAGAGTTAAGACTCTGAAATGGTCGTTTCCGACGACCTAGAGGTTCTAAATGTTGAAAATTTTCTCGCTCGGCGCCAACTTGACCCCTTGATTTCAAATACATTCCCACGTCCTTGTTCTGTGGCATGATGTTTTTGCAGAATTGTTTTTACCCTTCTGTTTAATTTCTTTTTGAATATCAAAAAGTCGGTCCCCAAGTGGCCCACACACCCCTCGAAATTCCTTAGATGTGCGCCCCTGTAAGCAATAGTGTATGGATATCAGACACTCTTAAAGATTTAATTTGTATATATAGATATTTAAATACAGTATTGATAGGTTTATTGCAAATATTTACTGTAATTGAACATTTTTATTCTTTATCAATATTAATAATGAACATGTATAATTTGCATAATCTAATCTCAGAGTCAACGCAGGGTGCCGTTCCCAGCCTTTGCTGGGGTACTAATTCCCCACGGCAATTTACCTACGGGGAAAGGAAAGCATTAGCGAAGTCTAAAATTCATCAGCAATTGTGGGCGCATGGCTATGGGTTACCGTGCGTGGATAATCATCTTCACTGATCTCAAAATATAGCGGACTGTCATGAATAGCGAGCACCGATTGGTCAAATTTAAAATTTGCATTGTAACGACTGAACAATTCTGAAAATTGAACGAAGAAAAAATGATATTGTCGTTTGAAAACCTAACCAAATATTCCTAAAAGACACGTAATCTCTTGAAATGGGAAGAGATTTAACTCGTTAATGCAAATTTTATTGTTGATTTTATTTACTGCCAAATCTACATCTACTACATCATTACAACCAGATAATTTATATACATTAACCTGGTTTTCACTATATTAAGTATTATACCTACAATATAGGAATTACATCATTAACATGAATCACTTCAGTATAATATGAATGTCGTCATAAAAATTACGCAGTATATGTCAATATTGGATATATATAGCTCATCGTATCAATATATATCCCATTGCTTTTGTATCTCTGTCTCCATTGTCGGCCTTGCAAGCTGCGAAATTACCAGCAGAATTTAGCATGAAATCGAAGCGGCATAAACGACCTTTCTTGACATTTGAACTGCCCAAACCAACGAATGAGTCGGGACTAGCACATCTGTCATTTCCTTCATTTGCTACGATACCTAATCGGACCTTGACGTAAGCAGTGTTTCCATTGAAACCTTCGCGGTTGCACTTTGATTGCAGTGATGATATCGCTGATGGAATGAGTGATTTCCATGTTTGACGGCCAAGATTTGTTTCGCGATATTTCCCGTCTGCGAACAAGCTATACAGCGAATTTGCCGAATAATTGAAAGAGATAAAGCGAAGTGCACTGCCAACCTTCATGCCAATACATATTTCCCTAAATGAAGTACTCCAGTAGGTCGGTAACTTTGTTTCCAGGTCGTCAAAGGCACTCTGTCCTCCAGAAGGATTGTAGCTTTGTTTGTTTGACCATAGCGAAGAGGAATATTGGAATGTTTCCTGATAAAAAATTGAATCGGGCTTAAATTAAACCATATTACAATGAAACCATTAAAATGAAGCCATGTTTTGGCGGTTGTTGGATATTCATACCAATTTAAAAAAGAGGATCATGTTCAAGAAGGAAATTCAATTTTATTTACAAAGGAGGTTAATGATTGGGTTCAATGTTTGTTCAAATTTGGTCTGATGAGACCTTACGGAAGTGCTTAGATTATAAAAAATAAATTTATTTAACAGTTCTTTTCAGTTTATCCGAACTTGACTGTCTCTTTAATGTTTTTGTTTTATCTTTTTGGAAGACTGAAATCAGCCATATGGCGAAATACGGCGTATATTATCGATTATAATTGATAACTATTAATCTCATGCTACCTTTCTTCCGTCAATTTTCATTGCCAATGTCCATCCGCCTCCTGAACAACCCGGAAGTGATATCATTTGACAATATGTCTTGCAATATTGATTGGGCCCAGGTTTAATAAGATAAATGCCATTTCGTGCTTTACTATAAAAATGCAAACCAAATAACATCGAATTAAATTCAGCGCGCTGTTGACGTGCCAAAAGATACGGCGCAATTTAAAATAAGCGCTACTATGGTAACATAAATCACAGGCAGCCCAAGCGTTGATCTGTGTTTTAATTGAATTATTTCACTACATTACACTAATATGTCATATAATAATAATAATACTCCTATAATCGAACATATAATAACAACATATAAGTTATTTGTATTTGTATGTTTTTTATTTATTTAAGATCTATTATAAGATTATATAAAAGCACCGCCTTTCGAACCTGACAGCCCGTTCGCAGGATACGCGCGTGGGAGACGCGCGGGATTTGAAATAGGAGGCGGCAACATATAAATACGTGACAAGGAATGAAACTCTTAAAGTTTGTCGTATTATGAATGACCCGACTTGAGTGAACCGATAATTATGCAATGAGTGTCGTGTCAAATAAACGCCCTCAACCTTTGGGAATCAATGATATAAACAAGGAAACAAACTCTAATACAACTCGAGGTGAGAAACCAATTTGTGTCGACCGTAACGGTTTCAATGTTTAAAATTTAAAATGAACTACATTAGGTCCAGCCAACTACGAAACGGCGCTATTAAAAACTATAACAATTTATAAGACTCTAGGGCTTTTATTTCACAAAATGTTTCAATGGCTATGTACTTTAGCCTTAGACATATCATGTAGCCGAATTTCAAGCTAAAATTCGTTTTAACAAGCACATACGGCTTCAAAATAAAACATCACCGTGTTGTAATTTCACCCTTATCTCGTTTCTTATTTCAGTGCGAAATAACGCGTGTATCCTGCGAACGGGCTGTCAGGTTCGAAAGGCGGTGCTTTTATATAAGCTAATAATAGATCTTAAATAACCTGAAAAACATACAAATACAAATCAGCTTATATGTTGTTATTATAAGTTTGACTATAGGAGTATTATTATTATTATATGACATATTAGTGTAATGTAGTGTTATAATTCAATTAAAAAACAGATCAACGCTTGGGAAAGTATGGCATTGTATTCACAATTTCCCTCAGACAGTGATTATTATTATTATTATTATTATTATTATTATAAATTTCCAAACTAGCAGTAACAACTGAATTTTCCAAACTAGCAGTAACAACTGAATTACTTTGGAATTACAAGGTATAAGAGCATAGACATTCAAACTATTCTATATTTACAAGTAAAAATAGTGGGCTAGTATTCCAAAGGTCGTAGGTTCGAATCCCACCGTGGCCACGCATATTTTTCAAGCCTGCCCGGTGTGGATATACACTCAGAGTAACATCACACAAGCAAGTAAAAATAGGTAAATTAGATAAAAATTACGATAATAAACTCAAGTTTACTTATTATTATAAGCACGAGACGCAGCAGGAATCAAACTGTTCGAAAAACGTTCAGTTCTACACCTAGGTACTAATAGGTTGGAATAAGACCTCAGATCATAAGTTTGAAGATTTTTAGGCGATACTAAGGCATGCATTCAGTTTGTGAGTGGGTTCCAACATCTTCGAAAAAAGGCGCTTGCAAAGAACTGTTCTACATTCATATAGAGTCATTAAGTTTGCTTTAAGCAAACATTCAGCATAGGTAGTTCCAGGAAAAATAATTTTTAATGCCTTTTATGGATTTTTTCGACTTGATCACTCAGGCACTGAGGAAGGCCATAATGCCACACCTGACAAGCATATTCCACAATTGGTCGAATATGTGTGCAATAGGTTGAGATCAGGATATGAGAAGGTAAAGCATTTCTTTTAAGAAGGCGCAGAGCATACAAACGCTTCGCGGCTTTCTTGCAAATGTAGTCAATATGGCGGTTCCATTTAAGATCGTCTGAAAGAACAATACCCAATAATTTTGCCTCGGAAACGACGTCGAACTCTTGACCACGGATGTTAATAGGGGCAAACGATGGAATAAGCTTAGAAAAGCAGACATGAAATTATTTGGTCTTTGATACATTTAACTTCATATTATTGACAGATGACCATTCAGAGCAGCTGATAATGTTAGTGGGTAACTGGGACGGGGAATTGTTTGATATTATTTCCCAAAGGCTAGTATCATCAACAAATTTAACAGTTTCATCCGCCACAGCCAAGTCATTGATCAAAAATAATAGCGGGCCAACCTTTGTTCCTTGTGGAACGCCGGCGTTTAAAAACTTCCACTCAGAAAAAACTGACCAACACGGGTTCTTTGTTATCTGTCTGTCAGAAAGTTTGCGATCCAGTTGAGTAACACGGGATGAATTTCCATGTCTTTCAATTTTGTCAAAAGAATGTTATGATCTAATCGATCAAACGCCTTAGAGAAATCAAGTAAACAAATCCGTATAGTGTTACCTTGTTTGTCAGCTGCTTCATACCATTTATGTAGCATGTAGATTAATGTCATGCTAGTGCTTGAACCTTTCAGCGAACCAAACTGCAAGGGATCAATTTTTTTGAGACGGAGTTAAGAAGCCATTTGTAGGGAAAGAATTCAAGAATCTTGCTGATAATTGGTGTGAGGGACATTGGTCTGAAGTCAGAATCAGCATCATTAGGGGGCGAAGATTTTTGAATTGGTGTAATATTTGCTGCCTTCCACATTGAGGGAACAAATCCTTCACGAACTGCTGCATTAAGAATGGAACATAAAGGTCGGCACAACACTGAAGCGTTTTCCCGGAGGAGCCAAGAAGGAATTTCATCGGGACCAGCAGATGAATGAAGTTTAGATGATAATAAAGCCTTTTCAGTCTCCTCGACAGAGATGCAGAAATCATCTGCAATGTCATTTGTGGGAAGGGGAAGCCAGTTCAGACTGGGTAAGGAGGACCCTACAGCAACGAACTTGTCATTGAGTAAATTTGCAAGATCCGCATCAGAATAAGATTTACCTTCGAACATTATTGTAGATACATTCTTAGAAGACTGGCGACCGGCAATATTCTTCACCGCTGACCACCATTTACGAGAATCGGACTGTTGGACGCCCGCGATACTTTTATTGTAGTAATTTAGTCGTGCCTTCTTGCAAAGTGCATTGACTTTGTTTCGATAGAATCTGAACATCAGGTTGTTGCCAGCCGCCCATGCTGTCTGCCGCTTGGAAATAAGAGATTTTATTTTGGACGTAATCCAAGGCTTGTCACCACTAATCTGTACTAAGACTGGATAACGCATCTATAGTATACAAAAATGAAGCCGGAAGTCACCGGCCGCCACCCGATTCAAGGGTCCCATTATTTGTATTACAGATGGTAGTTTTTCGCATTTTTTGCCTTGGCTACGTTTCAGACCGGGTCAGTTTTACAATCACAAAGATAGAAGCATACAAGAAGGATTTTGAGCAAAAAAATTGGAGTATTATGGCTTTATAACGCCGCGAAACGGGATTTACAATTTTGAAGGAGTGGAGAGCCTCAAACTTTGTTTATCAACACGAGTTCGTTTTGCTACTTTGACACAAAATCAACTCAAAATATACAAGAATTACTGTTACTGGACGAATATTCTCGGGAAATTTGAAGAAATGAAGCAGCTACATTGTGAACGAAAGCGTACAGAGGTTAGTTAAAATACCTTGACGAGTTGAGGCTACTTTTATAATATAAATTAAAATAACATTATATTGAGTCATTGTTTATAATTTGGATTAAAAATATTTGATTGTCACTTGTCTTCCTACTTTAAAACATATAAAACTTCTTGACAGGTCGCCGGGGAATGCTTGACAAAATTGACATTTAAAATGCTCCTTTATAATTCGTATAATTATAAAAGTAGCCTCAAGGTATTTTAAAACTAACCTCAGTACGCTTTTGTTCACAATGTAGCTGCTTCACTTCTTAAAATTTCCTGAGAACATACGTCCAGTAACCGTAATTGTTGTATATTTTGAGTTGACTTTGTATGAAAGTAGCAAAACGAGTTCGTGTTGATAAACAAAGTTTGAGGCTCTCCACTCCTTCAAAATTCTAAATCCCGTTTCGCGGCGTTATAAAGCCATAATACTCCAATTTTTTTGCTCAAAATTCTTCTTGTATGCTTCTATCTTTGTGATTGTAAAACTGGCCCGGTCAGAAACGTAGCCAAGGCAAAAAACGCGAAAATTACCATCTGTAATACAAATCTATACAAAAGTGGGACCCTTAAATCGGGTGGCGGCCAGTGACTTCCGGCTTCACTTTTGTATACTATAGATGCGTTATCCAGTCTTAGTACAGATCAGTGCTTGTCACTAATCAGTGCTTGTTTCCAAGGCAAATGTTCGTTTATGACATTATCTACTATTAGTATAATTACATAGGTGATTATTGAAAATTCTCCACGCTGATTGGCTGCCGTTGAGGTGATTATTACGCGATAATCACCTCAACGATTTTCAAGATGGCGGCCGAAGCCTTTTTGTCAATTAAATGACGAAGAAATGTGTATTTTCTTATTTTTTCCCAAATAATCACCTATGAAATTATACTAAAACAATTATTCACCTCAGGCTCGGTGATTATCGTGAATAAATACCTCGACTTCGTCTCGGTTTTTATTCACCGATAATCACCTCGCCTTCGGCGAATAATTGTTAATTAATTTAAGAAGCCATTTGTAGGGAAAGGATTTAAGAATCTTGCTGATAACTGATGTGAGAGAGATTGATCTGAAGTCAGAATCAACATCTTTAGGGGGCGAAGATTTTTGTTGAATTGGTGTAATATTTTCTGCCTTCCATATTGAGGGAACAAATCCTCCACGATATATTCCCCTTCAATCTCCGCCCTCGATGGAAGTATTTGTTACAAATGCCGGGCGAATCAAATAGTATAAAATAACGTTTTAGAATCGTACCGTTCATTCCTCGCGATTGCCTTGCAAGATGGCTTCAAACCTTTCATTTCTTAAAAAAGGTAGGGAGAGAAAGTTGTTTAGCTTCTATTACTACAAAAACATTGAACTACTACTGAATGTGAAAACGGACATAGTCCGTGCGTGCGTGTTTGTTTATTGTCTTTAGAACCTGCAATTAGAGCTAGCGGGAAAATGTAAGAGCGATTGAGCTAACCTAAGTATGCAAAGACACTTTAAGTTGGAGAGAGAGAATAAATATATTGTTGTTGACATTATTATGACAAATGAATGGACACTCGATTTCCCAAGAAGAGCCATAATTTTGGAAGGGGTTTCTTTTAAATAAATACCCCAAGGTAAAGCAGAGAAGTAGTGTAAACAAACAAACAAACAAACAAACAAACAAACAAACAAACAAACAAACAAACAAACAAACAAACCAAACCAAACCAAACCAAACCAAACCAAACCAAACCAAACCAAACCAAACCAAAACAAACCAAAACAAACCAAAACAAACCAAGACAAACCAAAACAAACCAAAACAAACCAAAACAAACCAAAACAAACCAAAACAAAACAAAACAAAACAAAAAACCAAAACAAACCAAAACAAAACAAACCAAAACAAACCAAAACACAACCTCGTTCCCAGGGTCTTTCTTAGAACGGCGCGAGGCGAAGGAAAGACCCTGGTTTCGGCTGGTCACGTGTCACCCAGATTCTGGGTGATAAATTAAAATGATACTATGGGCAGGGTGGGAGAGGAATGTGTTTGTCGCGTTTGTAACAATATTTGCAATTTTGTGTGATGAAATTTAAATTTGCAACAAGAAATCGTGGAGGGAACTGCAATTAAAAATTAATATTTATCGTGATGTGACTTTCTGCTCTATAATCTAGTGTCGAGTTACAATTCAAGCAAGTTGGATCAGATATCAACTTACAAAGAAAGCACGCCTGGGCGGCGTGGCAATAAGCCTACAAGAAAATTCATATCTCTAGACCGACCAATGTGGTTTATATTTATTTACCTGTTAGTATTAAAGTATATCCTGATCCTCGGACCAAAAGAATATATTTATTGATGAGATGTGGAATTGGAACGAAATAGCGAGATCTTTTGATTTCCGAAATATCACCAAGACGCTAAATGTAT